GGCCTCAAACGGCTCATGGCGGTGGTGGTATAGTAGGGGCGGCGGCTCCTACTCAAAAGCCTGGCAGAAGAGCTCCATCTTGCAGGCCCTGCGGAACTGCACAAGATCCCGCAGGGCCCAGATCTCCCCTGGGAGTTTGTTCCACCAGGTAGGAGCCACCACCGAGAAAGCCCTGGTCCTAGTAGCGGCTAGCTTGATGTCCTTGGGGCCCGGGATGGCTAACAAGTTTTGGGCCCCTGACCGTAGTGCTCTTGGGGGAACATATGGGGAAAGGCGGTCCCTCAGGTAGGTTGGACCCTGGCCGTATAGGGCTTTATAGGTAAGAACCAGCACTTTGAAGCGAATCTGGTACGCTATTGGCAACAAGTGCAGCGCTTTCAGCACAGGCTGAATGTGGTCTCGTCTAGAGAGACCCATTAACAGCCGGGCTGCCACATTCTGCACCAGTTGCAGCCTCCGGATTTGCGACAATCTCCAGTTTAAAGACCGACAATCTCCAGTTTAAAGGATCAGTTAGTAGGTGATGTGGAAGACCTCTGCCCGAGACCCTGGAGAGCCACTACCAGTCTGAGTGGACAGTACTGTCCTTAACGGACCAAAGGTCTGATTCAGTATAAGGCAGCTTCACGTATACATATTAACAATATATACTATAATGTGCTTTCCCCATATGTACCCAAGCGAGCACTGCATTCAGGGTCTCAAAACCGACTGACCCTCCCCAGGCCAGAAAGAAGTTAGACTGGCCACAACCAGGGCCAGGGCCTTCTCGGTGGCGGCTCCATACGGATTTGAACTTGGGTCTTCCTTATCTTAGTCCAACGATCTAACCATGTCACCACAATGGCCTTGTAATGTCATGTCCTGCTCTATGGTAAACTTTCGAAAGCCTCATTTCATTTGAGATTTTTTATGATGTTGGAATTTGATCATCAAACCATCCTCGATAACCATCAAAAGGTCACGTTCTTGTTTCCTCTCACTCTGTTTGGTGTATGGATTATGCCATCATCTCACGATTTCCTTTTGTATCACGTGTAGCTGAACTGCCTTTGGATGATTTGGTCAAATTGGTTAAGGAGCCGCCGCCACCAACAAGTACGCCATCACTAACATCAGCTAGTGCCAGCGCCTGCTGCATATATATGTGATAACGATCAAGGAGCTGAGAAGCACAGCAGATTGTAGAACAGATTAATATGATTGTGCCCCCATCTTTAAGTACTTATATATATTTAGCTAGCACTTTATGGCTGTGGGTTGTTTTAAACTGGCTTTGTGTATGTTTACAATTGCTTTTTTTAAAATTATATTTATTGATTTTCCCAATTTTACAGAAGAAAAAAACACAAGCTTAACAATATGTTCACACATAAAAAACAAGACAAAACAAAAACAGAACAAAACAAAAATCAGTTTGACATTATTTCCTTTAGCAGATATCTTCACACCAATTTAAATAAACCCCTATCGCTCCGTCGTATATGCCTGTTCTATTCACATACCCCATAATTCGATGTTTTCAACCAATTATAAAACCTCGACCAGTACTTATCAAATTTCTCCATACTCTTTTCTTCAATAATATAGGTTAATCTCTCCATTTCTGCTATATCAAACATTTTACTGATAATCTTTTGTTCATGTTCTTAATGTCATTCTTGTCTGGATTTAGTTTGCAGAATTCGTTAATGGGTTGGGTCCAGTAAAATAAATTTCATTATTTGAAAATGTATCAGGTATCACATTTAGCAAAAAACATTCTGGAGTCAAAGGAACATTTTTAACTAGAATTTCATCCACCATTTCTTTCACTACTAACCAATATCTTTTAGTGTCACCGCATGTCCACCATAAGTGGAAGAATGTACCAATACAATATTTACATTTCCAACAATATTTTCCTAATTTCTCATTAAATTTGTTTAATCTGGCTGGTGAAATATGCCATCTATAGAACATCTTTACCACATTTTCCTTTAATGCACTTGATCTCATGAACTTTATATTTCTCATCCAGACTTTATCCCACTGCTCAAAACTAATATTATATCCTATGTCTCTTATCCACGCAAGCATTGACGGTTTCACCTGTTCATCTATCATTTTCCAATCTAACAAAAAATTATATGCTTTTTTAATAAATTTTTCTTTTGTGCCGAGCCAGATCTTGTCTAACTCTGTTTGACTCTTGTATATACCCATTTGTTTATCTTTTAGCCATCTTGACCTTAATTGAGCCTTTTCCCACCAAGTTAAATTTGTACCTTGCTCTTTCAACAATTCATCCGAATAGAGTTCACCCTTATTATCTAATAAATCTTCATATCTCCATTTAGAGTATTTAGTATATAGTGCAGGTTGTACAAAGGCCTCTATGGGTGATATCCATCTAGGTACTTTTACATAGTGCACTTTTATCTCCTCCCAAACTTTGAACAAAGCCCCTCTGATGGTGTGTTGTTTATGTTTACAATTGCTTATTTGTATTTTATCTTTTGTAGGCCAACCTGAGCCTGCCTCGGCGGGGAGGGCGGGGTACAGGGGTCATTTCGTAGAATGCATAACTCATTTGCATATGCCACTCCCCCTGACAACACCGGAAGTGTGTCAGAAGGAGGGAGAGCTTGTACCTGAATAAAACTTTCTCTTAAAGGTGCCACTGGACTGCTTTGGACTGGGGGGGGGCTCTGCAACTTACCTGGCTGCTTCTTGCTCTGACTGAGGGCTGCTGGGAGCAGGGGGTGGGGCTTGTTGCATGTGCCTGCCCCCTGGGCTCTTTACTGCCGGAGCTCTGCTCCTGTGCGCTCCTGCAGGAAATGACCCCTGGCAGGTTATACATTCAACTAATAAATAAAATAAATTTTCTCCACACTGTAGGTGGGAGGCTGAGCTAGCACTGACTTCGCCTTAGTGGGTTCACAGCTGAGAAGAGACATGAGCCCTTCCCAGCACTTAGCCATTCCACCGCCTGGAATTATATCATAGCTGACGGTGGTCCCAGTACGGCTGCTACAAACTGATATCGCCTTAACAATTAACTGTAGGCTAGTCCTTCTCAGTCTAGAAACACCAAGTGGAGTGGCTAATATTAGAGCCGCCTGCAACGGTAGCCCTCTGTGCAGGAGCCCTTTGCGCATGGACTGAACATGTGGAAAGGGAAAGGAGGCACGAGCATGAGGGCCCCTCCCCGTGGCTCCATGTGATCTCCAACCCGTGAGCACACACATGCATGGAGGCAGCGTCCACGCAAATGCTTCACCCTGTGATTGGCAATGTTCAATAAGCAGCATCCCCAATCATGGGGAGGGAGCATACCCGTGGATGCTGCCTCTGTGCATAGGCACCATGCTCCATAGGAATGCCACAAGTGCCAGAGATGTTAGATACTAACCTTCATCTGAACAAATCAATAGCT